TATTATTTTTGGCATAACCATTTTTTGGCACAAACCTTTCGACTTATATGACATACAAGTAGGTGGTGGTACGTGTTTGCTGCTTAATACTTGCCTTTTTGTTAACAGTGTGCCCGTTTTGCCTTCCATGATGAAAAAAGGTGTTTTATATATTTTTCTGAAAATGTTATGTCCCAAAGACCTGAGAAGCCAATCAGTAAATGGTCAATAGTCCGAGAAGGCGTCGGCATAATTGTTTTTGACATAATATGGTATGACTCATTATAAGTACCTCCAGAAATTATTATTCCTAACCAATCAATTTTTAATATTATACGAACTTATGTTCCAAAAACATTTCTTGAATAAATGCATGTAAGTGTCATCCCAATTCCCCTGAATGTAATTTTCAAGAACGTTGAAAGTCCCAAAGTCTGAAAATACCCTATTCTAACTATGGGTAATCTGAGAGGGCATGTGTGCTAACAAGATAATAAAAACATTCATTGGCCTTTGATAACCTTTCTTCCTTGTAACATATAACATATACATCAAGTTGCTGTGTGATTTGAAACCTCTAACCTTCAAACACAGAAAGGCTAGTACTAGATATAGTAGCTAATAGAAAGGTTAAGAACAATTGTATATGGATAATTGGATATGTAATATTATGATCCCCCTCCCCCTGGGCTTACTTATGTAAGAAAATGTGGCAACTCATTTATGTCTCCAAGAGAAAAGCATGTGACTGGCACTATATGAAATACACTCTATAAACCATACATTTTCAAGGTAATCTTGCACCAAGCCAATGTACACCCCTCCCCATTAAGAATGTGGTGATAGGGGCTTGTAAAAAGACTATTTGCCAAGTTACAAATTGCCATACTTGCAAATTAACTAACCACCACCAAGAAACAACAACATGATCAAACCAGATCATTGAGATCAGAGCATTTTCTATATAATGTAAAATCATGAAGTTTGTATTCAGTAAAGATAAAGTTTACTTTTAAGGTTAGAGTAAATATACAAAATGGTAATCCACGATTCCACACCAACTTCTTTCTCTTCTTTAGAATAAAGAACTGTTAGTAGAACAGAGAGGACAATAAGTTTTTAAATATGAAGATAGATCAATGAAAATGCTTCGGGGTTATCAGAGGCTAGGAGAAAGAAACAAACTTATCTCTCGCAACTTTTAAATATCTGACTGAAAACATTGCTTGATGGCTCATTCATACAATGTTTCAAAAATGTGTTACTCGTATAACTTTTCAGCAGTCAATGTTTGGTGGTTGGTGGTCAGTGTTTGGCAGTTGGCGTTGGACATTCAGCATCCAGAACAAATGGCAGGTGGTAACATTTTGCATGTTAATGCTTGTGTAACAATGATATTTGACAAAAGTATATGCATAAAAACATGGTCTTTTTGTTTACTTTTACATGATATTGAATATATTTTATGCTTAAATCATATTGAAATTTGATTTTTATTCAAAATAATACTAAAACATACACATTTATCCAATACATTTTGAAATATTACTATTCAAGGGAAGCATGGCATTGCTCATTTTTAAGGTCTCATGTTATTACACAGAGTTGTATACCGTTCTAATTGAAAGCCCATGATTGTTTTTAATATTTTACTTGTAATTTAAAGTTTGTCACAAAAATATAGATGGCATTGTGTATTCTAAAATGCCATACAGTGCCACAAATATTCCAAAAATCTTTGCTGAATGGAAAACATAGCCGGGTTAATGACGGATTTGACAGTTGAACAGTTGCAAGTATTGCTAAGGCTTATATTGAATAACTAAATTTATAGAAATGTGTAATTCAGAGTGAGTTAGAGTCTGATTCTACCTTCAATAATAATACCAGGAAAAATAGTGGCCATAACAATATGCTACCACTTCTTGATGGTGAACTAAATGTATAAATGCCATATGACAGACAAATTGATGATCAGACAGAGACATTCCCTACCTTAAGTTTGTTGGGATAATTAATGTAAAATACATGGAATTTGGGGTAGTTATTTTCACAGATTTGTACATTTGTTTTTGCATATTCATGTTTTCGTTATTTTTCCAAATTCCTCAATTCATGCCAGGAATACAGTTTTAAATTCACATCATCCTGAATTCAGAATTTCACACTCACACACGAAAATACGCAAAATTAAAATGGCGCTGAATTTAATGTAATTTATAGCACTCTTGTCAAATCGTCTATGACTTTATAGCAACAAATAACATTAAGTATATGTGCAGAAACAATTTTATTGCAAATGTAATAAACATATTAGATCATTACAACTTAGTTTATTTAATTCAAATTAGAACAGAAAATACATAAAGAGTCAATACATTTCAAACATAAGGTTATACATTTAATGTACACACTATATCAAGATTTAATCTTTATAGTAGATGTTTTGAAGGACTAATTTTTATATAACTACTGGTAACCTAGTTTTGAGACTTAAATCAGCATTAAACAACTATTGTAACCGTTTATCAAAAATAGCTTTCATAAAAAATCTACTCAAAAAAGTTCTAAACAACCTAATAAACCTAATAAACAAAGCCCGCCATGCTAAATCAATGGAGATATCTAATGTCATGATATTTCAATTTCACAAAAAATTCATGAAATAATTAAAAGTGTTGTATTCAGTCAGGTGACCAGCCACAATAAAACATTACAAATTAATCTGTGTATATGAATCGATGATTATCTCAATTTGAGCTATTTACTGGAACTGAGCCTAAGACTGGCATAATTTGTAAATGTGTACATTTGTATAATATACAGGGTGGGCCAAAAAAGGTACCCTCATTTTATTCTTGCAAGTTCAGATGGGGTGATGTTTTCTGACCCACCCTGTGCTTTGATAATCACAAACATGAAGTCATTTGTCAGTTCACCAACACATTGTTTGGCTCTTTGATGGAACAATGCTCAGTATTCAGTATTTGCATGGATCTTATGCAAAAAAAGTAAAAATCTGAATGGCTTTATGAATGTGATTTATGATTTACAAGGCTATGGTTATGAGGTAAATAATGTTTTTAAATGTACGAACAGATAACAACCAGATTCAATAACTTGCTATCAGATTAGGGAGGGAATTACCCAAGATTCATAGCGAATACACTGCTATATTACAGAATTTGCCATGTATTACCCATAATCCTTTTCATGCCGTCTGACAACTTTCATTCATTGGTGAACAAAAGCAACATCCAGCAGACAAGTTTGGTCTTCAATCTTCATACAAAAAAGATTTTTGTAAATAGTGGAGAATTGTAAAGCACCCAATTTACGCATCACAAGGGATCTATTACTTTTTGAGTTACGTGAACCCAGGGGTTTCACTCCAATATACCTCGTAATACCTGTGTGCCGAGCCGAAGAAAAAAGGTACTTTCTCCGACAAATTTTCCATGTTTTTTCCTCTCAGATTGGCCAGTTTAGATGGTTTATCCCCAAAGCCAAAATTGGCCAAGCTGCACATACATACCCAAATGATTTAGAGTGAACCCCCCAGCTTAGTGAACCATATAGCTGCAACTTAGCTGCATTATGGGGTAGCCCATTATCTCCTAAAGGAAAGGCCCCATTGTACTGCATATAGTTTTGCCACCTTAAGTTGAAATCAATTATTAACGGAATGCAGATATCTTTCATCCATTTAACCTTGACCTTCTTATCTTGCACACATCCTTTATTTATTTTACCTCAACTTACAGATATCCTTTAACCTCTTGCCAGTATTTGGCATTTAATTTCTTAAATATACCATATGTGATTGTTGTTTTGGTAATTGTTTGAAGGTAAGCCCACTTGATGTACTCACATTCAAAACATGATTTGTGTGAACTGGAAAAATGTTGTCAAAGCTGGAGCCATTTGGGTGAAAAATTCTGCAACCGGTTTTCTTGTGTGACTCTGATTGGTCAAGAGGTGAACTATCTGACCTTCTCAACTCAAATAGCAAGTTAGGTGGTACACCATAAACCGATATATACTGATTGTTCAAAATTTACACACATAACAATAATGTAAGATTAAACCATTAAATGTGTAAATGCATATTAAACTTATTACATCGAATTAAACTTCGTAAAATTACAATCCAAAATGTAGAAATAGTTCCAAATATATAACAGATAGAGGAATACAAACACTGTTACATGTTTTTAAGTATGAAAAGCCATAAGCTCAACTGTTCATCACATGTGTATTGAATACTACACTAAATATACACTGTACGCCTAGCTTTAACTATAAATGCCTAGCTACTGGACCTACAAAAGCTCAATTTCAAATATGAATATAAAATTCTCAGCATTTTTACTGCAATGTAATGCATATTGGTATGTTTGGGAAGCTCCTACGTCATATTTATCGCGGCTCTACAGATTTGCATTATTTGAGGTGAATAAGATACAGAGAGCTCAAAACAATAGTGATCAACTAAAGTTTACTGTATGTACACTATTGTATTGGTGCAAACTTTATGATTTAACCAAAATTTACAAAGAACCCCTTTTCTATAATTCTACCATTTTACCCTATTACTGTTCACTTTAATCTTTATTAACGTGTCGGATCTGTATTATTGTTTTGAGAAAAATTATACGAATTAAGTCAAACACATACTAGTATTTGTTATGAAGTTGAGTGTTAATATATTTTTAAGACATTTATGCGTGTTTGTGATAAATGTGAAAACATGGGAAATGGGAATTTGATCATTAACTTATTTTAATAAGTTTGGTTTATGGATAACGAAATAAACCACGCATGCTTAACCTTATATAGAGTTGGGCGTGACTTGTTTGACATGTTGTGGTTGCACACGGATGCACACGTATTATTAGGGCTATATTTGTAATGTTCTTCCTTCTTTCAAATGTAACCAAGCTGAATACACGTTGGTCTGCATTTGGAATTCAAGTATTATCATTAATAAATAAATAAAAGTAATCTAAATACTAGATAGTAAAAATATGCCTAGACAAAGAAGTAGCAGACGAGTTCGTGAAGCTGGAGGCTTAGGGGAGGACCTTAATTCGCCAACGTTAAGGAAAAAGCTTACAGAACTAGGGATAAAGGTTCCTCCCACGTTCAGTAAAGCTACGTTGTTGAAACTTTACAAACAAAACAAGGACAATGGCAATGATGCTGCCGTTAATATAGTACCTGATGTAACTGATAAACCTCGAGAAATCAATGGCGCGTCTGCATCCAGTACTAATGATGGAGAGGCTGATATCACGGCATTGCCAAGCACGTCGTCCCAGAGTATTACTCAAAACCAAGGGGGATTACTGTTTGAGGCTATAAACAGTCTAAAAGACATGGTTGCATCACAGAAAACGTCAAGTTCTCGTTTATTGATCTCTGATGATAACCGACCAGTCGATAGAGAGGAATCACCTGATATGAGTCTTGGCTCGCGTGGCGTTCCAATGGAGAACATACAAAACATAGATGTTATTTCTAACAGTCTCAGGAGATCAATCATAGAAGGTAAGACGATCAACATTGCTTGTCTCCTAGTCACAAACTATGAGGAGCAAAAAACACCAAGTCTTGTATCAAATCGCGATGGCACAATTCAACTAAAAACAATTACCAACGTGAATGATCCTAAGCTGAAGAAGTTCCTGACAGCCAGCGAGTTTGCTACGGCATTTGGCAGATATAAACGGATTATGTGCGACATATTTCCCCAACGACAATATGAACTGGATACGTATATGAACGATATATTGGAGTTATACACAAAAATAGGCTACAAAGCTTACGAGTATCACGAACAATTTTCGGCACAAGCGGGATCCTTATGGATTAACAAAGGAATTAAGGTCGATTGGTCGAGGAAGGACAAGGAATTGCTGCAAATGGTATCACTCCCTCGCTATCCCGATCGTCCCCCATTAGATTACGAGAAATCACAAAGAATGGTAGTGCGCGACAGAAACGGACGTACGCGTACATATATGGATGATGGCGGGGAAATATGTAACAATTTTAACTCAGCAGGCGGATGCAAGAGACCCATTTGTACATATGTACACGCTTGCTCCAAATGTAAGAACAGAAACCACGGAGAGTCTGCATGCGGAAATAAGCAAAGTACAACGCTTGAAAAACCGCCTCGTCCTCAATGACTCCAAGAAATAACTTTAAAAGCATCCACATGTATCAACGTTGATTGTTTGGAATCAGAGCTCAATAATCACCCAGATAAACAATTTACTACATACTTATTGGATGGTTTGCGAAACGGTTTCAATATTATGATGGGTGAAGAAATTGCTGAATTGGATCCCTACCAGTGCAAGAATCTGCTATCTGCCCGCACTCAACCGGAGGTAGTACGGGAACTCATTGAGAAAGATTTAAAGAACGAATTCCTCATAGGGCCGTTTAAACAACCGCCATTTGATAAATACAGAATAAGCCCCATCGGTGTGGCAACAGGAAAGTATTCTCAGAAAAAGAGGCTCATATTTGATTTATCATCCCCACATAATAACGCTGATTATCCAAGCATAAATGATCTTATAGATAAAGAGTTATGCTCCTTAAAATACGTTAGAATCGATGACGCAATTAAGATCATTTGTGAACTTGGTGTCGGTGCGCAATTATGTAAAATAGACATTGCTAATGCCTTTAAGAACATTCCTGTTACTCCCCGTCAATGGAAATGGCTGTTAATTCAATGGATGGATGATATATACGTATGCCCGAGATTACCCTTCGGATTAAGGTCCAGTCCCAAGATATTCACACACTTGTCTCAAGCAATCGCTTGGATTGCAAAAAATAATTATAGCATAACGAACATATTATACCTCTTGGACGATTTCTTAACAATCGATCCACCCAAATTTCAATCTGAAAGGACTATGGCTCTACTTAGCTTGATTTTTAATCGCCTAAGAATTCCCATAGCCATTAAGAAAACTGAAGGTCCGACAACGTGTCTCGAATATCTTGGGGTGGTCCTTGATTCACAAAACATGGAAGCTAGACTTCCACATGATGTTACAGAAACGGATATGCTCTAAACGTACTCTACTTCAACTATTGGGTCATCTTATATACGCAACTCGCGTTGTTATACCCGGTAGAAGTTTCGTGTCATATCTGTTCAAACTTTCCACAACAGTCAAAGACTTACACGACCCAGTGTTTATAAATGACAATTGTCGGGAAGATCTTGAAATGTGGAGAGCATTTTTATTAAATTGGAACGGTGTAAATATGTTTTACGACACACACAAGACTCTCGCTACTGATGCTTCACTCATCGGATATGGAGGTTATTTCGACGGACTATGGTTTGCAGAGAAATGGCCGACCTCCTTGCCGGACATTGATAACACTGAATTATCTATGGCATTTCGTGAACTATACCCCGTAGTTGTCGCAGCCATCATCTTTGGTCAAAAATGGAAGTGTAAACGGATCATCTTTCAATGTGACAATACGGCGACAGTAGCTATAATAAACAAAGGACGATCAAAGTGCTCGCCAATCATGAAACTAATGCGTTCCCTGACATGGGCAGCGTTTACACATAATTTCGTATGTAATGCAGTACATTTACCAGGAGTTAAAAATGAAATCAGTGACGCACTTTCTCGTTTCTATTTTCAGAAGTTCCGAGTTCTAGCACCAGACGCAGCGAAGGAACCGATGACTTGTCCAGATCCGTTAGAAATAATCTGGCGTTAACACGGACGGTAAATGATCTATTGGAGAGCGGAGTAAGCAAGGCCACGGCAACGGCATATCAATCTGGATTTAACTCGTATACATTATTCTTAATGCAAAACAACATTATCAATAACAGAAACAATATTCCACCTATCAGCGAAGAATTACTTATTTATTTCGTCGCACATTGTCATAGCGTATTACGGATATCTTATTCTACAATTAAACTATATCTTTGTGGGATTAGGAATCATTTCATCCGTTACGGTTCTGATTTTTACGTTATTGAGGGAAAGGATATGCAACGACTGGCTTTAGCGCTTAAGTCAATTAAAAAGAATGAAAAGCCATCGTCAAAACAACGTTTACCCATAACTTTTCATATTTTGCAACGCATTTGCAATATATTGAGGCATGGATTATTTGACCCTTACACGGACTTGTTGATGGAAACGGCATGTACTTTGGCGTTTTTCGGATTCCTCAGGTGTGGCGAATTTACGATCAATTCATCATCCAGACACGACAGTCACATTCCCCTGCTAATGGAAAATGTCAACATCAACAATAATAGTGTAGTTATCAGCTTATCAGCCTCAAAAACCGACCCTTTTAGGAACGGAGTGTTGATAACTTTATATAAAACAGATACAGATATATGCCCAGTTACCGTGTCAGTGAAGTACAAAGCCAGCCGAGTGAAACGTTTCCAAAATTGCGAAAACAGTCACTTCTACCTTACAAAAGGAGGACAGCCATTATCACGGGATCGTTTCATCTCATACTTAAGATACACCCTATCCTGTTTAGGATATGATTCAAACAATTATAGTGGCCATTCATTCAGAATCGGTGCAAGCACGGAAGGTGCATCGGCTCGCCTCGAGGACCATCTAATCAAAACACTTGGTCGGTGGTCTTCCGACAGTTACAGGAGGTACATCCGAACTCCTGCAAATGTTATTCAAGATGCTCAAAAAGAATTGACTAAGTCACGCAAGGCTTTGTAAATGGACACTGTAAATAATTATGTACCACTTTGTAACATTTGACTGAAAGCACCAGTGTGAATAATATTGATATTGTTAATGTCAATAAAGTTAGACCAATCCCGAACGGAATGTAGCAATGATCGTATCATGTTTTAGCACCTGACCTACAAACCCAAATCAATCAACTTCTATTACAATTGGGGTTCCCATATGCTTCACTCATTTCACTAAACAATTTCTCGGTGAAATATCTGCTTCGCACATGGTTTGGCAATTATTCATTTCAACTCATTCTTCCCCAACTGCAATTCATTACATTTTAATGATAGTGCAGCTGCTTCAAGATAAACCAGTTCATAGTATTCAATTATGTAAATATACATCACTTTCTATGTACATAATTGTCTCCAATTTCAAACAATCATGTTCGCAACGCGACTTATCTAGCTGATAAGACAGGTACACTCTACGGTTTACCGTCTTGATTGTTTGAAAGTGAATTAGGTTTACTTGGGCTTCTTCCCGACAATCACGGTCCCGCAGGGCCACAGTTCCGCAGAGCTGGCTGGAGGACCCCGCGCATGGTCTCAACTCTAGCACCGATTGTCTCCTTAGTTATTACCACGTAATGACTTATGCATATACGCAATTGCGTCACAACGGTGACTTCGCTATCATTTTTCAATGAACATTCTTTGAGGCATAGGGAATAAAGCCAATTAATAGTTGATTGTAAATATTTGTATTCAGAATTAAATATATTCATATTTTCTTGTTTCTAATTGATTGTTTTGTTGTTAGACATAAACCACCTATTGCATATTTTCCATAATCGTCCAACACATTACAATTTATAAATCCATTAAGTCAAATATCACATCCCATCTTGCATTTATGTTCCGGTTGGAACATGATTGGCAATGGTTGTGTTACATTCAGTCATAATTAATCATCCCAATCCTTGGCGATCTTGTATGCCCACTCCCATCTTAAATGTACATTTTTGTCATCATCGATGAAGAGACTTTTCACAGTATATTCACCCCGGGCTAGCATCCCAGAGGGAGCCTCATCTGTGGGAGTACTATAGACGTGTTCTTCTTCGCGCGGAGCATAAGACCCAACAATGAAGCTGTTCTTGTCAACTGCAACATAAAGTGTACATATACATATGTAATTAGCATGTTGAGTATGTACATGTAACAATATGCCTGGTTGTAAAACATACACAATATTCCAGCACAGGAAATAGATAAAATCGCCCACTGACTCAATGGTCTCAACCTTTTATTATCCAACACGGGAACAGTTATAAATTCTCCATGGATGGTTAGATAAAGGCTGGCTGAGATATTTAAACGGAAAACTTTCCATATTTTCCTATAGGATTGAAACAAAAGGCATTATTATATGTCAAAATGGCACCAAATTGTAAGTTATTGCAAATTGTTAGATGCCGAACTCTGAATACCGACAAAAATGTTGGAGACGATAAACAATATATCTCCACTTCAGACATTTGGTGGGGGTGACAAAAAATAGTTTTGTGATTTAATAATCCAACCTGAAGTACATGTTTAAAAATAAACTTGACTAGTTTCCTAACCCCCCTATCACACCAAACTCGTTCTTACCCGTTCTTGCCAGTCCTACGAAAACGTCGTAAAACGGGCTCAAACTGGCTGTGGTCGGGAAATATGTCTGAAATAATTAGCTTCTTCGTTCTTAAACAGTCTTCAATACGTCCATCTCGTTCGCAGTTCGTTCAGGTCGCACCACATCGGTGTGCAACGCCGTAGAACGCGTTCCTTAGTCTAGAAGGTCATCATGACCTGATAACAGAACGGTATGGTCGCAATCGAATTTTGAATCGATTCAAAATTCTAAAATCACATTCCCGTCTGAGAACGTTCATAAAGTTCTTAAATAGACCTTAGAAAGTTGCAGCTACGTTCATTCCGTTCGCACACAGTTTTGAAGAACGCAGTGGCAACTTGTTTGGTGTGATAGTAGGACCCTACTATCACACCAAACTAGAGCTCACTACGTTCTCGAAAACGGGCTTCAACTGTGTACGAACGGACTGGACGTACTAAGAACCGTTTGGGATCTATTTACAAACTTCATCGAACGTACTCGAACGGGTAGGTCCTCAAGAACTTAGACAATGCTCAAAATG